TATTAACCCAAACCCAATACAGATCCATCGTGAGAAGCTCTACAAACCTGATATATAACTTTCTGGTTTGATATACTTTTGAAATATGACAGGATCCTTTCCCCATGAATAGTACTATCTAACACACCTACAAACACAACTTTTTCTACATTTGAAATAACCAATGGTATAGTAGGTATTATAATCTCAAATATTATCCAAAATGAATTGTATATTTTGCTACATTTCATCTGATAAGGACTTATATCCAAGTTCGCGGAGTACAGCTCGTAAAAGTTGTAAACAAACTAATGTGCTTAAAGATATGAAAATAGATATTTACCTTCTATAGACATTACATTTTCACCGTAAAGGACTACATATGTTCTAGCCATTCTTTGCTTAACAGAAGATATTGATTTTGAGCCTCAATGAAGTGACGATAAATTCTTTAAAGGAGTAGAGTAAGTTAGAGTAATTCTGCACGGCCTTTTTAATATTCATAGTCTTTTGAGCGCATATGAAACATTTTTACTCGGAAAAAAACGGCACTTCACTAGTGGATAGACCGGACATTTCTCTATCCACTGATGTAAAAATCTTGTTAAAATTTAGTAAGATTAATTAGTAGAGTAGTAATCAATTTCCAGAGAAGTTCTTTTGCTCACCTCAAATAGGGTAATTCTGAACAGTCCAGCAAAAACAGCTGGAAGAAAGTAAAACAACTTTTTTTCAACGACAAAATCTTACCTTTCTAATTAAAAACTACACCTTGCTACTGCTCGCCTATATTATGGGAAAAAGATGAAAAGTCCTGACTACTATTGATGATCGAATTTGTATCATTCAGAAGAAAAAAAGGTATCAGTAAAAGTGTTTCGAAAATGAGTATAGCAACGAAGAAACTGTAGCGGTACGAGAGATGTTTCGACAGTCGTGAAAATTGAGATCAAAATATAACAATTGCTTATAATAGTTTAAAATTCAATCAATGAAACTTCAAAAAGAAATGCTATTCTCTCATTAATCATCTTAAAAAGATGCTAAAGAATTTAAATGCAAGTTGGAGTAAAAAATGCTCGGCACATATAAATACAGAGGAAGCACTGTTATTTCTTACACGATCATTAATCACATAATCACTTTTACACATCCTAATGCCTCAAACATACGTTAGAACAGGCCAAATGTCTTGTTATTTAAATAAACGCTTGCAACTTGTACTCAAAGAAATTTCTGAAGACAGTAATATTCGTGGTACTGCAAAGAAATATAATTCCAAAATCAACGTTACATTTACATCATTCTTTACAAGCATCTCATTATGGCGCTGGATATACATCTCATTTTATAGAGTCTAAAGAAATTTATTTGGTTTGTTGAAAATGTACTCTAGGTAACTTTGTGAGCGAAGGTATTTTTCTAAGTTTTAGATTTGCTCGCTTTTGTCTAGGAATGGGGAAAGAACCGGTAACATCAAAAAAAGTAATTAAAATGGCGACATATTGTGCTGAAGAATTATTACAAAAAGAGATTTCAAGATGGCAAACCAGGCACTGAGTGGTACTCTTCTTCTATCACATATCATCCAGAATTGAAAATAGCTACGCCTATCCCTCTTACATCAAAATATGCGAAAATTACAATGGCAACAATCAATAAATGGTTTAAATTATTAGAAGATATACTCGTTACCGACAATTTGATGGATAGATCCTAACAGAATTTCAGTTGCGATCAATCAGGGTTTGCTAATATAACGGGCACAAAAAAAGTTATATTACAACCATATACAAGGTAGATAGAGCTCAAAAATTCTCTACAAAATGGTATAATTTTTAATTAAAAAGATAAACCTTAGCCGTTGAGAAAAAGTTGTGTTACTTTCTTCGAGCTGTTTTTACTGGACTATTCAGAATTATCTCATTTGAGACAAGCAAAAGAAGCTCTCTGGAAATTGATTACTACTAATTAATTGAAAATTGAGTACTAATTAATCTTACTGAACTTTAACAAGTTTAAGAGAAATGTCCGGTCTATCCACTAGTGAAGTATCGTTTTTTTTCGAGTAAAAATGCCTCAAGTACGCTCAAAATACTGGGAAAATTAAAAAGACTGTCCAGAGTTAAACCAAGTTACTCTATGCAAACGTATCATTCAGTTTATCAAGTAATTATTTACTTTCGCATCCATCGATACTACAACGTACTGATTTTATCAAAATGTATGAAAAAGGGCCTCGACAACGTTGGTGGACGTACAACTCGTTTGACGTACATTTGAACTCTTCGAACTTTCAAGACAATAAGGTTTTTTTTTTCCACCTTCGCTAGTTTTTTACGTGACAGAATTGCTTTAGTGTAGATAATTAATTATAATAATTAACTACAGGTGAAAATTTCCATGTTGCCTCGTCGTTTAACTTATCTAAGGACAATAATTTAAGAGCGAAGATTAGTAATACAGCAGTGTGTTTGAAATTCATTATTTTAATTTTTAATTTTTTAAATTTTATTTATCAACATTTCGAGAGTACAATTCTCATTATCAAGAGATGACACGAAAAAAATAATAGTTTTATTAAATAGAAAAGTAGAGATAAAATATGTGCATATTGGGAGTCCTATTTTTATGTCTCTTGAGAGTGAGAATTGTATTCTCGAAATGTTGATAAATTTTTAAATAAATTTTAAAAAATTAAAACTTAAAATAATGAATTTCAAATACGCTGCTGTATTACTAATCTTCGTTCTTGCCTCATCGTTCTTTATCGGATAGCAGCAAAGTAAACCAGTTTGTCGGAGGAAACGTTTCAATTCGTAGTTCTAGTCAGTTCAAATATGCCATTAAAATTATTTTCTCAATTAGTAATTATTTATTTCTCACTGTGTCATAGTCTGCTGTTCTTTTGATTTTCATTTATTTCTTCTGTTTTTTGTCTTTCACGAAGTAACAATACAGATCTCTTTTCTAAAAAGAAAAATTGCTTTTCTATAACAACGATCTCACTTTTACTCCTTCTATCATAAACCAATCTACGTGAAGTGAAAAAATCGACGTCATTCAAATCTGTAGACTGAGATGGATTAAACGATAGAAATAGATTCAACGACAAAAGAAAATTGAGATGATAAAAATGAATCAAACTTTTACTCATTTCTGATCTTTATAAATTAGCATGAGAAATACTCCAGTATTAGAAGATTTTAGCCAAAATTAAAAATTATGCGAAAAAATGCGATAGGTATTGGTAGCGTTTGATTTGGCTTTGTGTCTCATCAAATAACAAATTTTTTTCTATCGTATTAGCTTGTGTCATTTTTATAGTTGTGCTTACATCGTAGTAATTAATACTTAAATCACATGTGATCCATTATTTTTAAGTACTACTATTTCTGCCATAATCTGGTCTATCCGTTATTTTTCATTTAAATCGATCTATATTTAAATTGTATTCATCAATGAGAAACAAGTAAAACGATGTATGAGTAATACAGTAGAAAAAACGAGAACAAAGTAACAAAAAACAATAAGATTCTAGATTATAAATAGAACTAAAAGAGTTGCGATAAACCTCTTGCTCTTATTCAAAACAAATCGATGAGAGCAATAAATATACACATAGTAAAATTACGACTTAGGCATTTGCTTATTTTCAAAAAGAAAATGAGTGAATTGTGATGCATCAACTTTTTTTGTTACTATTAACTGTCCTCATTGATATTAAGTTTCTTTTATGCTTTCATTTAGTATAAAATTAAACTAACCTTTGATGTTCATTAAAGTTGTCATTTATTCGTAAATAGATATCCGTTAAATTATGAGCTATTATTAAAATATTAATGCAAATTTATATTGTCCATCATCTAGACTACAAAATCAGATAATTTTATGTCGTATGTCCATGGCCACGAATAGATGACCAAATAAAATCCCTTCTGTCGAATACAGTTGATTTCGATAAGTTTTGAATTGCATAATGGTCAACAATGTGAAATGTGAGTACGATAGACATAACCAACTCAAAGCAAAACAAAACACAAAATCTACAATTAGAAACGAAATTTTCTACTTAATAAATGACAAAAGCTATAAGTCGAAGAGGATGGTGATCTCAGCTAAAAATAATTAGTCTAAACAAAAAAATAGTGATAAGGAGCCCAGAAGACAAGAATTACGGCTGTAAAATAGATGACTCTCATTGGGACCTATTCATTCAATCATGTACTTGATATTTTTTTGATCCTATATTTCTAAATATAGTATATAAGTATAACTTGCAAATATTTTTAATTATAGGATGTAAATAATTGAGGTAAATATACATAGACGAATAAAAAAGCCAAATATTCATCAATACTCTAAAAGACGAATGTACAAACACGCATAAACAACAAAATAAGTAAGATATACATTCATACAAAAAAATGACTGACAACTGACTAAAAAGGAGAGAGAGAGAGCGAGAAGAAAAACGACACATGCTTACTTATATAAACAAACAAAAAGCAATTTTGATTAATAATTCAGTAAAAAAAAAAAATTAATAACTATATTGCAGAGGATGATTGTTTTCTTTGCGTATTAGAGCAAATTACTAATAAAAGTAGATATGCTTATTTGATTATGTTGATTTTAGTAGAGATACAAAGATGTGACAACAATTCATATAAAATACAGAAAAAAAATAATTATTCCATTTTTGTGACAAGCACGAGGGTTGGTTAAAACTACATTGAATAGAGGAAAAAAATTAAGCTTATCTGATTGATGAATCATTGCTTCACGAATAAAAATTCTCTTATTTTTGATACATTACATACAACGAAAGAAAGAAAAACAAACACCTTTATATACAAAATAAAAATGACGCAAAAGCGTTTCAAAAAACAAAAAACATGGGCACCACATACACATGCAAAAGAAGGTAAAAAACAACGAGATTATCTATAACAACAGATATCGACAATGAACAGTTACACAAATACGTGTAACAACTATCAAATAAGTGTGAAAATATTTTAAATCTGTTCATACGGCTGATACATCATTGGTAATGCATTTACATCATATTCAGCTGCATTTGATGTAGCAACAACATTATTCGTTCCTCCATTCGTTTGTGTCTCATAATGTGTACGCATCATATCCAATTCTGTTGTATCACTGGGTGTTGTATTCGTCCAACTGGTTGTATCTGCCCATGTTCCACCACCGTTGTTACTTGCGTACGTACGATTATTGTAAGTTACATCATTGTATCCATCTGAAGATGAAGGCGTCGTTGTTGTCCACCGTGCTGGATTAACAACAATTGCTCCTCTACCAACTGTTGATGAATATGAATCATAGTTTGTTGCCGAAAATGAGGTTTGCTGTTCACCACTACTACCATTTGATAAAATATTTAATGGATTAGCAATTACAGACGTAGCGATAGCCGAGGTCGTTGTTGTGGTTGGCAAAGGTAATAATGGTTTATCTGATATGAAAGTAAATATAACAAACTCAATTTCATCCGTGCACGGATTACAAAATGCATACGTTGAACATTTCAAAAGTATAAAGTCACTGTTCGATGGATCTACAATGTTTACTGCTGCTGATAACTGAAATCGACATGAAATTGTTGATGTTGCTGCAGATGTGGGAGTTGGAACATTTTTCAGTGCAATAGCTCGTTTAAATAAATCTTGTATTTTTGTACGATCATCTGGATGTATTAATTCAAATATACATTTGTGTAATAATTCATGAGGTTTATAACCAATTATTTGTTGACAGCGTTGATCAATAAACAATATTTCAGCTGTCTCACGATGACAACGGCATGTAAATTCGGAATATAAATTAGAATTGTTTGTTGAATTTAAATCATTGGTATTTGGTGAACATGAGTTCTGAAGACGAGCGATAGCTACAAAAGCTGGAAAACCAGAATTTCCACTTGATGTCGAAGATGATGATACTGGATTATTTTCATTATTTAAATTTCTTATGTAACCACTAACATGAACAACTTCATATAAGTGGCCATCTTGTGATGGTCCCAGTGATGAACGGTGGCGACGTCGTAATACGCATGGATTGATGTAAGACGTTTGATGGGGATCGAGTGAATTACTGCCACTGAGGCGAAGACGACAGATAAATGAACGCTTGCAACTAACTAAAATAACAAATGAATTTTGACTCATTAGAATCAGACAAGTAACTGCAGAACGAGACTTTCTCTTCATTAGATAAAAGAGTAGAATAATAAAGATCTTCCCGGAAATGGTTGAAAAGACCCATGAACTTGGGAGCGGACGAATATTTCAACAAAATTTATGAACATGAATGTGCAGACCCCTGTAGAACATATTTTTAATTGAATAATATCAGTCGAAATATCATACCTAATCGTGCTCCAGTTGAATGCCCATCTTTTTTAACTGTGCCCGTTTTCAAATCTAATACTCTTCCACCACCATTGGAATTTCCATTTGTTGTATCGTTTTGTTGTTGTAAATTTAACTGTTCTCGTACTTTTTCAATATCATCTGGATGAATAAAATCATAAAACAGACGTGTATACCATTCTTGACATGTATACGATAAAATATGTTGTATTGCATCACTAACATAGATAATACGTGCATTGTCACAATGCAGTGCAAATAAAAACGCCTAAAAGAAATTAGAAAAATATCTATATTAACAGTACAATACTCATAAGAATGTTAAAAACTTACGTCACATGATTCAATCATTAAATATTTTAATTCTTGATCATTTAAAAATGATGGTTTATGTAAGTCATGTTGTTGTCCGTTATTTAGATGATGTTGAGGATGAACTGGATTTGCCGAACCAGTACGTAATGATTTCATAAACTGTGCGGCCATTCTTAGAATTGTTAATTTATCCGGTTTACGTGCTAAATTAGAACATGACGGTACCATGTCGCATAATTCAGCAAAATATGTAGCCATTTTAACTCGTCGACGTCTTTCAATTTCACAATGGTTCTCACGAGCTTGTTTTTCTTTATCTTCTTCTCCTCCTCCACCAATACCGCTCATACTCCCGCTCGTTCCACCAGTAATTGTTGTTGAACGACGAGTGAGTGCCGGCATATCGAGACAACAATTATTATCAAGAAGGTCATCATCGTCTTCATCATATAATGGAACTGTTGATTTTCGTTTCATAGCAATTTTCGGTTGATTTTCGCTAATTTGTTGTTGTTGATGCTTTTTGTTATATTTTCTTTGTAAATCGATGGACGATGTTGTTGACGATACAGAAGATGTAGACGATGAATAATCAGCTGGAGTCGGATAAAATGGCAACGATGGTTGTTGTTGTTGTGAATAATAATTATGGTGAGAATTTGTTATTGATGAAGCATAGATCGGAGAACTTAAATACGGATGTACTGACGTTGTATTGTTACTAACAGACTGATTTGAAACACCACTGGCACTCGCATAGGCCACTGCAGACATAAGAAATCAACTAGAAATACGAATAAGTAAACTCATTATTAGCTTCATACAGGTGTCAAAAATAATAAACTACTCAAATAATGATGACATCTGCTTTTTGACCAAAATTTTGCCTCACCTGTATAATATGCTTGAAGTGAACTAATGCAGATCTTCGATAAACCAATATATATGTATCTGAAATGCAATCACAGTTATTAGAAAAGACGATATGATCTCAAGTAACCCCTCATCCCCAACATAAATACACATACAAATTTTTCCTTAAGAAAAACAAATTCAGAACACTGAACACGGCACGATACTCTTGTTTAATGTTCCTAGTTGATATAATTATTCGATCTCTATAGATGACTATTTTACTGGCCGATAACAGTTTTATTTCGCAGCTACAATGAATAATTCGTTATTGATACTTCAGGAAACTCGTATTAATCAAAACCGAGCGTTTTCAAAGGCACTCAACTAATAACGGATAGTAAAGAGCTTAGTACTCAACGCTAGTAATGGTTATCCATTCACCTTTTGCATGCTCGATGAAGAAAAAGCAAGATATTGCAGGTAGTGTCGATATTTCATCTTTTTTTCTTGAATGACACGTTTCACACTTCACAAAGTAACAACAACAAGAACAACCATCATACAAAAAAATGTTTTTTAGATAGCCCAAACAAACAAACAAAACCACAAGACAAAAAAACAACAAGAGAAAGTGCATGTGTGAGTAAAACACAGAGTACCAAAAACAACAAAGCATAGCAGCATACGATGTCTTATATTATATTTCCACTCCGCCAAAAAATTGCTCAAAATTATTTACATTACCGGGCTTTGTTAGAAAACAAAAACCTAATTAGTTGCCAGTGTATGCATCAAAACGGAAAAAAACAAGCGAGAAGACCAATCAGTTTTTTTATCTCGGCTTGAAGAACAGCTTCATTCCAGTGCAAAGTAAATAAACACCAAGCTCATCAGTACACCAAAAAGTTAGACATTCTCAGAACTGCAGACCATACAATATCACAACCAAAAAGCTAAACACGAAAGATGAACGGAAGTAAGAGCGAGAAAACTGAGGACGACCAAAAATGATTCAATATAAAAATATCAATGGTTTTCTGCTAACCACACGCACACGCACATACACACACACACACACATACGCACACACACATTGTTTTTCTGCCGATTTTCCCACTGAAACAACTAAAAAAAACAAGTTCATACACATAAGACAAAACAACAACAAAACGGAAAAATATCCAAAAAACTACGGATCATGAAAAAGGAAGTACATATTAGTTCAGTAACCTGTGTTCTTTAGTGAACCTCGATCGAAAGAACGTCTCTCTTGTTACTGATTGTTTAATTATCGAACTTTTTTATTAACTCCTTGAATATGGATGATATGTTGGACTTTGAATAATCGATGTTTTCGCTTTTCCATATGAATGGCTATTCGAATCATGATCATAATCCGAATGTGTAGGATCGAGTGAATTATCGTTATTTGTCATATTATCTTGTCCCGGTAAATTTCCGTAATATTGTGAGGCATAGTCATATTGAGTAGCATAGGCTTGTGGATCATAACTACCAGTTGTTTGAGGTGGAGCTGAAGCGTAATAAGATGAATAATCGTATGTTTGAGGAGGATAACCAGAATTTGTTGGATATGAATAACCCGGATAAGTTGAGGCGGCTGCTGATGGCGATCCAGCGGTTGCCGTCGATGAATAACTATATGGATTATTACTGTAGGCCGCATAGGCATTCCATGCTGCGTAAGGATCTTGGCCATAACCGTAGGCCGATTGTTGTCCGTAAGCATATTGTTGTTGTTGTGCTGCCTGTTGATATGGATCATAGAGATTCTGTTGTTGATTTGTCATTACTTTTGGTTTAGCTCGTTTGACATCAACGGTTATATCACCAATAGAATGTCGTTGAATTCTTAATACGTCTTGTGCTGCTTGTTCAGTTTCAAATGATATAAAACAAAATGGTCGACGTTCATTTTTTTCTTTGTCGTAGGGCAAATCAATCTGAATGATAAAAGATTATTGAATGATGACTCAAACTGTTTACTCTTGTTTTATTACGTGTAAAATTCACTAACAGCAGAGATTTATAACGCAGAAATACTTACTTCTTCAATTTTACCGAACTGGGAAAAGTATGTTCTCAATTCACCATCTGGAAAATTTGGATCTAACCCTCCAATAAATACTTTTCGATTATTATTATATTGATTAAAAGTATTACTATTGTTGTTCATGTTATCAGTTGCTTGTTGCGTCATTATCGAATTATAAGGTGAGGGATTCACTGCGTTTGTTACTGACGTTGGCGGCAAACGACGACGTGCCGATTTTGGATCAACTTTTCGTCCTTTGACAAAATGATCGTTTTGTGATAAAATTTTTTCAACAACTTCCTTCGAATCAAAAACCTTAAAATTGAAACAAAAATAGTAGCAATTTTTTATACTGATGGAGGAAACGAGAGACTTAAGAGAACAAACATACAAGAAAAGCAAAACCACGACTACGTCCCGTTGCTGGATCATGTTTAATCGAAATATCCATAATTTGACCAAAATTTTGAAAATAATCACGTAAATCTTCATTCGTTGTATCCCATGTTAAACCACCTAAAATGAAAAACTAATGTAACAACGATCATTCATTATCGCTTACACACATCTTTACTCACCAACGAACAATTTCCTTTCATCATCTGGTTTAGATAACGATGTATAAGAATTTGTATTTGAAGTCGGTGCTGAATATCGAGCAGAAGATGGATATTCGGATGGTCCTGGTAAATTTGTATCGTTCCCATTGTAACCGTTCACCGTAGAGGTTCCATCAGCTATAACTTTCTCTTCGCTATTATTAGTATTATTATTGTTGTACGGATCATAGGATGTTGAACCATCACTACCATTTGGTGATTTTCTCGTCATTTGCTGTTGTTCATAATCATTTTCTTCATGTGTTGATGTCATATTTGAAAAACTAAATAAAACAAAAGAAACACGTTTACTGATAACGAAGTACGCCTCTGTCATGATCAAACAAGAATCAGAATATACTTAAGTACTCAACATATTATCTACAAAAACACACCTGAATTAAGATCAGAATTTGAAAGAAATGTCCATAATAATATCCTATATTTAGTTTGTTTTGCAGTTGCATTTGCATATGCAATTCCATTTTTAATCATACCTAATAGTTTGTACAAATAACTCTCAAAAGTGAACTAATCTATTAACCAAAAACAAAGAAACGATGAATGCGTTCAACTCAGTTACAAAAATACTTGTCATTTTATAAATTCTCAAAATTGCACGGATCAACGGTCATTGAGAGGCGAGAAAGCTTGAACATTTGAAAACAATTCGTGCTGCATAGTTCTTACAGTGCATATTTTTTATTAACATTCCAGTAAAGAAAGACCTTGCCTACATTTATATCTTATTTCAGAGTTGGTCCTTTCCCTGAAATATTGATTTTTAGCTCCTTTTTCGGTTGTTTCCTCTGCTAATTTAGTGCCCTGGTTTCGCAAGATTTCAGATATTGCTATTACCTATTTTAGAAGTCCTAGGACGTGTCTTTAATTAAACTCGTTGTGGGATTCGATGCTGCATTATTCTATCTTGTTTCTTTCAAAATTCGACTATTATTATGCTTCGTATGGTGTTTTTATTTCTCATTCTATTCTTGATTGTATAAATAAACTTGTTGCTCATGTTATTTCTCGTAAATTTTACTATCTTCTTTCTTCTCTGTCAATTAATTTTCTCATACGCAAGTGTTATACATTTGTCCGATTTTTCAAAACCTATCATAGCGTCGGTCCTCTTCATATCTTATATTATAATCTTCTCATTAAAAATCTTCAAGTCTTAATCATGCTACATTTGTTCGTCTTCCTTCTCTAATGAACGGTTTTTTCTCAAATAGTATCTATCTTATTTCTTATATACTAGAGTCATTGATTGAAATAACCATCCAGAATCGATAATCTACACTTTTTTCGTTTTGTCTTTCAAAAAAGCTTTTGTGCGACTTTTTTTTTCTCGCAAATCTAATCATATGTCAAGTATTCTTCGTTTTTTACTTTATAGCCCAGAGTGCGCTCGCTCATCGCTTATTTATTTTTGTTTATTTTTGTGTTTATATATTTTCTCTTCTTGTACTGTTTATTATTTACTTTAGACTGACATCTAGCTATTTAAAAAAGTATCCTTCTATTGTTGTTTGATTGACGGTGCATATCGGTTTATAGGTCGAGAACCTAATCTTGCACTTTACGTGAATAAACAAATGATCATTGTTAAGTTTTGCTTCTTTGCATTCGTCAGGCTCATATTTGCTTTTTAAGAAAAGTCTCATAGATCTCAATTGCTTTCATCTACGTGTTGTTTTTCTTTCTTCAACACTGTTACAAACATACTTACATATTAAGAAACACTAAAGGATATAAATTTTGTGTTTACACGAAAAAATCTTGAAATACAACAATAAAATCTGAAACTTTGGAAATAACAAACAAGAAAGAACAACAAATAAAGGTAATGGTTCTTTTTTCTATAATAAATGTTCGGTGAAGAATATTTGTTGCTTATAGAGTATGTCACAAACAATAATAATTCTAAAACAAAAACATAGAAAGAATAATCTTTAACTATTGGCGAGTACGACAAGTGACCAGTAAGACTTATTCATCATCAATATTTGATAATTGTTGACGATCAACGATAGTAAGTTGCGATTGGATGAAATATTGTGCAGTAAATAGTACAAACGTTCCTTGAGCGAAAACGAGTGCTAAAAAAATAGTTGCTTATCTCTATCATTCAAGATATGAGAGCTTGAAAAAAGAGAACATTATTCTGTATAAATACTCGATACAACAAAAACAGTTAAAAGATATATTTAGTCTCCTACCGAACATGATCTTCAACAGAAGAGGAGCTAAAAAATAATCTTTTTATGATAGATAATTTCATAATCAAATAAATGGTGACATTTGCCTGCTATAACACTCCAAAAGTGCTATGTTGAAGGGATACATGATCCATTGAATGAACTAGGACCGAGTAACGTGGCTGTCGAGCAGTTTCTTTCATAATACTTAAGCAAATCAATTTCATCCTTTCCATTCATTCGCACTTTCGATTAATCTCTTTCCGAAACGAACAATTTATTTATAACATCTCACACATATCAATGATCTAAACGAATTTTTTTGTTGTTGGATGTAATCATATGTGTGTGTGCACGGAGGAAAAAACGGTTACCATTCTCGACAATTTAATCCTCTGCAGTAGCGTAGTTGTATAAACCTTTAGAGTGCCACTAAAAAACACCAGTTTTTCAACTATGGCTAATAGAAATATATATGTACTGATAAACATTTTGAAGTGAATTTTCAACACTAACGTTTAATCTAAAATAACGACAGATACCTACGACATCTCTCTGTAAACAGCGCTACTCTACTGGCCTAGCTGAAGATAAAGAAGGCCTAACTTAGAAGATAACGAAAGGGAAGCCGTGTGGGAGAAAGACTCACATTTATAATGTTGTTAAAGTAAAACGCTAATATGCTTTGTTTCTCACTACACTGGGTCTTTTCTTCGCCGTTATCTGAGGTATTCGAAAACGACAATAAAAAAAAGTTTCTAGATTGTCAGTCTATTATATGAAATCATTGACAGAAAAATAAAGTTTATGTAGAATCACGGAAAAGTGCTTTTTTTGTATTCATCACACTTAACTCGATAACCCGCAAGGTTTTCTATTTTTGACGAGATGTATTGCCAAAAGTTTAAGAAAAAGTTTGAAATTAACATGATTTTCCCATGGAATTTTTTTTCGTATTTTGTTTGAAAAAGTTTCCTAAACTTTTGGTAATATGTCTCGCCAAAAATAGAAAATCTTCTCGGTTGTCGAGTGGACTGAATACAAAAAAGCACTTTTTTGCAACTCTGTATGAACGTTATTTTTTTCCTAACGTTGATATATTCATAAAAAATCTGGAAGATAAAATGGTTAATTTCTGCTTTTTAATTCTCTTTAAAATTAAAGACAAACTAAGATCTTTTAATAGGTAAAAGAGACATAATCTCAATCAGTTGTTTAGTGAAATTATAAAAACGTGAGAAAACGCGTTTTTTTAATAAAAGCAATGAAACGGTCAAGCAAAAAAATTTGTTTTTACGTGTTTTGGGTAGAACAAGTATTATAGTAAATATATAAGCTATTCCTGATTATGTCGTTGGGAATATCAATTTTCTAAGTGATTCTCTCCTCTCCATAGACTATCACATAGTAATATTATTTTTTGTTCAAACTAATTTTATTCGATTCCTCAGCCAAAACTAAGGCGACCAGGTTTTTCTTGATAGCAAATCCTCTTAGACGTTGAAAAATTCTGCATTTGATGAACAGGAAGGTTCTGTTTGCAAGAGGGTCAGTATGAAATTTTGAATGCGGCTTACTATTGATGGTTTTTGCTAAGAGACAATAATATTTTACAAAAGTTCTTGTTGTTTTTAATAATCAAAACAGAATTAATATTCTTTATTAACATGAAAAACATGCATTGAATGGCATATAAATTAGCATTGAAAGAATACGTTTTTTCCAACAACCATGAGACGCTACGAGACGTTTTCGACTTGAGTTGGATGTTTCTGTGGTACTCTTGTGTAACGTTTTAGACTACTCATATTTTTTATTCAAATAAGGGTGTTTCTCCTCTTTAGCACGAAGAACCTATTCCACTGAAACAGATTTTTTTAAAGTTTTTTTTTCATTATTTTAGAATCTTTTAACAAAGAGGGTAACCAAAAGAATTGACACATCAAGCCAACTAAGAAGTTACTATCAAGTGAAATATAAAGAAAATAAATTTTCATGGCCTTTCTGGTTTTATTTTCGATGAACGTCTAAATGAAATGTGTTTATATTCGATTAGTATGTCCAATGATGTAGGGCGGTGATGAATAACGTAACCAAATCATGAAGAACACAATCAAAAAATATTGAACTAAGAATGCAAGCAAGCAATTGAAAGGCAAGCATTATGCATAGTCAGATTTTATGATGGAGTCAGCTCAATATACACTGGAATTTTTATTAATATCTGACTTAATCTGATGAAGATAGATCCCTTATGGGAGAGGAGAACTGAAACACTCATCTATAAATGCACCGTAAAATATCAGATAAAACAAAATTATGTACATCATTCGGATCGAGGGGAGCTCTTTATTGCTGTAATAGCATGTGAATAGTGCACTGGATTGTACTATTTAATTCGGATCATTTTATAAGATAAAAAAATAAGAAAAAAAAGCACTTAGAAAATCGATATTCTCTATAGCATAATTCGAATTGTTTACTATGGTAAGGACTTATTAAATAAATATTTCAGTATCTGGATTTCAAATTCTATGCTTTTATTTTTACTGAAAAATAAAATAAAAATTCGTTTGCAAGGAAGATATATTTGCAGATCAAATATTTATTATCAGTTAAAAATCAGTTTACTAAATCAGTCGGTGAGAGGTATGTGAAAAGCACACACACAGCACACACATATACACAACTAAAAACATAAATCATATATTTTTATTCACAATTTTAAAAATCTCTGCCGGATAATTGTAATTCATGGTTATGATACCTGACTGGTTTTGTGTAGATCATAGCAGATGATATAAAAGTTGTATTTGTGTTATTTTGTGGTTTAATTGCAACATAATGATTTTGTACTAAATGTGATGAAAGTGGTCTAACACTGAAAAGAAATGAAACAGCAGAATATCAACTTAAATTCAAAATAGATTTTAAAGCATATCCTAGTATAAAAGCGAAACTGAACGAAAAAGATTGATATATATATATATATTAGTTAGAAGATAAGACAGTCATATATCGTATACTTTTTATTAACTATAAAATAAACTATACAAGCGTACTCAAGTACACTCCTACTTTCATACATTCACATTAAAAAATTTGTCTATGGATGTTATACTCATCATAGAAAATGTTTCGTTTTTAAAAATCAGTTGCGTAACGATCGAGGAGACTAGAAAAGAAATTACTTGATAACACTGATCATACAAAGAGTAACGAAAGTCTTACCTAATTTTACTGACGCCATTAATAACATCTTGTACATTATTTTGAGAATAGAGTGAAATTGGTGAATTAAATTGTTTGTGAACTATTTGACTATTTCCCATTACAATTCGATTTAGTGGCTTTGACACTGATACAGTGGTCAACTGGCGTTGTAGATTTGGATTTACGGATACTTTTTTTTGATAGGATGGTACATAAACATCAGACTCATTAGGTGAGTCTCGCCACATTGAATTATTCAAAAGATCATTATTTTGCTGTTGAGGTTGGTGATAGGCTGATCTATTGGTTACTGTCTTTGTTGATTGACGACTGTAACTATTTTGATGTTGCTGACGTGTATTTACATTAGAATTTTGTGTAAACGTATGAGGTAAAGATAGTGAATAGGTATTTTCATACAGTGATACTGGATTTGTGTTGAACATATTCTGTCGTTCGGTATGAAATGACGGTGGTAGCATACTGCCACGCGTTTTTGTTGAAACAGATGGTACAGGACCTGGCATTAAGGGACTACCAGTTTGGCTCAGTAACGGTTTAGGACTGGGTACTCTTTCAAAGACTCGATTACGAAAAAAACCCTGAAAGACAGATCAGAGTATCGTTGTATATCCTTCTTTTTCTGTTTATAAACATACCGTAGGACTCAGTGGGCTAGACTCTTGATACGATGGGGAAATGATACTTGAACCATTTCCCCAGTTCGAAAACGGTAATGCGGACGTCGGTCGATTCCGCTGTTGCTGAAAAAGAGGATGTGGAGCAGATCCTCTAAAAATAGGAGAAGATACAGTTTCAAATAATAATAATGATGACGACGATGATGCTCTTTTCACCTTTGAATAAGAAATGTCACGACATCACCAGCTCTTTTAACCAAATCAAGTGCTTCTGAATGTTGTATGTTTTGTGTATTTTGACCATCAATTTCAAGTATAACATCTCCACGACGTAGAAAACCTTCAGCGGGTGAGCCGGCAATAATCTAAATATTTATTGAAAAAAATTATAAATCAGAAATTAAAAGAAATAGAAATTGCTTTTTACTTTATTAACAGTAAACGGTATTCGAAAATCAGCTCCACCCTACATAAAATAATAAGACAAGAATAGAGAATACATAATAAAATAATTTACAGTCGATTTATTCGAGAAGGGTCTATTTGAAATACTGACAGTATGAATTCTTGTCAAAGTCTTTTGAAGATGTTATATTTACCTGAAGTCTAAATCCCCATGGTGTTGCTACGCTATCTCGTTGAAGGACTACTTTCGTTGTTGTTTGTGTCATTATTACTTGTTTATACTTTCCTACACTGATGACGACGATGGAAAAATGGTTATACACTAATATAAATGATTTATACTAGCATCTATCCATATATTTTTTGTTTTTTGTCTACTACATGTATGTCTAGTTGACTTTTTTCCTTTTGCCCTAATCAACAAAAAAAGAAATCTTTTTTTCTAATAACATCCCAAACTATTCAATTGTACATGCGTTTGAACTTGGTTTCATGAGCATCCTTTGGGATAATTCCTTCTCTTTTCTACCAGACGATCATGCGTAAAATATGACGCTCCGTTATATACATATCTGTATATCCTTCAACTACTTTTTTTCCTCTTGTACATATAGTAAATTAACACGAGAGTATAATATGGTATGAATAGACATATTTCAACTGCTGTCAGTTCCACATTAAATAAGAATGTACATGTTATTAGTTATCTTGTTATTGTTAAAATAGAACAGATGTTAAATTGTTAATCTTTCACATAGATTTTTAGAATTAATTAAAAAGTATATTTTTATTTCAAGTTGCGATTAAATGATAATTAGTCAATTACAACCTGTTTTTTATGTACATCATAAAATCTGAGAGAAAAACCTTTTACTATCGAAAAACATCGTTCTTTCTTCTCTCTTCTTCCGATAAGAAGAAGAAAAAATATAGAATAGCAATTGTAAACACGGATATTAAGTCTAGGATCGAAAAAATCAATTTAACAAATATCATAAATTGCGATCCAATATTTGCATCTTTATGGATATAAAAGTAGATAAGAAAGATTTTATTCTGACATGCATATGCAATAGAAATAATGATAGTAAAGGGAAAATCTCTGGAAACACTAAATGTTATCTATCTTTCTTTCGAAAATGGCCAAAACATTATTACTTTCAGCGCTTTTTGTTCTAGCGAACAACATCATTCCTCAGCGTGTTAGATCAATCAAGTTATTAGAACTTGTTTTCCATTATAATCTTTCGTCGAAAAATCACATAGACGCCGCTGCATTCAACTATAGACAAATACTCAGTGCCATCTCAAGAGTGTTTAGGGATACTCCTGTTTCGTTACATAGTTACCTCTATAAAACGTATATTCGCGCGACTATTGAGCATGGATATGTTGTCTGCGGTTCCCATTTGATTTCAAATTTAAACACTCTTGATAAAGTTAAACGTTCTGCGTGTAAGATTATCACTGAAAATTTTATTAAGTCCTCTGAACTTCAAAACAGCTTAAGATTATTCTCATTGAGTCCACGTTGTGAATATTTTTGGCTTAGTTATTTTTACAAAATATATAATAGAATGAGTCCATTATGATCAAACAGTTTTATTTCATCTCTTTCTACCTATCACTCAGCACAGTTTGATCACAATAAAAGTGTTTTTGTTTCATCATTAAATCTCAAACTCTCTCTGTCGGGTCATTCTTCTCTAATACAGCAAAATAGTAGATGCATAACCTCACAATATTTTCCAGAAAAAATGTTAAAAAAATACCTAAATCTTATCTGAATTAGGATCAATGTTCATCTCATTTCCTAATTTTTTGTGTTTTAATTTGAATATTTTCTTCTATGCCATTTAATAATATACTATGTCATTTTACGATGTTGCAATAATACTTATTCCATTAGATTGTAATAGGATTAGAAATTAGTTTTTTATTATACTGTTGTGACATCCAAGCTTTATGCTAAACATACTCAAAAGGTTATTTTGCTGACATATTGTGACAGTTCTTTTTCTAATACCTATACAGACTCGTCCTAAGTAAAATCCAGTCGAATGCATCAATATTTTTATTTTATAGCCTAGAGCAATTGTAAAAGATGATTTATAGAAAAAAACAAGTGAAAATGAGGACTTCTCTAACATTTAAATTGATCACATGCTCTCCATTTCCCTCTAGCTTCGGGAATAAACATATTTTACTAAAGAACGCTCAAAAATATCATAACTCACTAACAATTGGCGTTGATCAGATGAAGCGTAGTGGCAGATTAACAAGTTGCATAAAATTATATGTGCAAAGTACTAAACCGTGATTCATAGTAGTTCGTAAGTTATAGAAGATGACTATCTCTTTTTAGCTAACGCCGAAACAGGAGAGAAACTCAAGCACCGGTAATCCAAGAAAACATGAAATTTCATTTCCTGTACATTCTTAGAAGAAATAAATCTTTTTGCTTGTTTTTCTAATATTGGCCATACACAAGAAAATCTACCTGTATATTCTTATTGGGGAACAACAGCCAGCACTGTACGAAACAGTCACAGTCCTGTCGATATGACATGATTATTGTAATCGAGAATCAGTGGATACAACACATGAACAGATCGAAAAAAGAGCTCATTTTTGGCAACGGCAAATTTGAATCGAGTAAAAGAGAAACACATAAAACAGAAGTGAGTTCATACTGAAACACCGTGACAAAACTTGTTAAAGTTGCAAGATCGATGTCGGTGGTTAATTGTGGTTGTACTGAATACAAAACATGAGATACAGCTGATACGGTACAAATGGGGTAGAGATGAGCAGCCAAAAATTTTCACAAAGAAAGTAAATGAGAATTTTTCTACACTTCATCAACCTAAATTTATAGATTAGTCAAGAGCAGAGAAATAATAAATTCACAGAACTACATAAACTTAGATTTACGTTCAATCTCAAATAGACCTCAAATTATTACGATGGTTATTTTGGTTAAAGTTACTTGACACCCATCGCTCATTATTTTCATTGATATTTTGAACATGGTGAAACCTGTTACGATGATAAAGAAAATATATTTAAAAAGAAGATTCACAGGTTGTTGATTGTATCAGTAAAAAAGTAGTCACGAAAAAAAAATTAGAGAAGGCAATCATATTTAAGATATGAGTACGGTTGTATTCAACAGTAATTTATAAGACCGTTAAAACGATATGTCACATTACTCAGTTCAATCGGAAGAGATAATTGGAGACGTTGATATATTTTTGTTAAGGTTTGCTACCAGCCTAGAACAGAAAAAAATAAAGAGTATTTATTAAAGATGTCATTAGCTCTATTCAGTCGTGAAAATGAAATAAACTATTTCAAAACTAATCTCATATCTGGTGAAAAAATTCGGAATCTTAGATGGAGAGTGAACATAATTTTGTTTTATAACTTTAGTCTTTTTGTTGTGATTGTTCACGTTTATTAATGCGTGTTATTATTGGAAATAAAATTCACAACATCTCACTCCTGAATCACCTAAGAAGTATTAAATCCGCTAAAACCGAGTTAGAAATACATTCTCTAGATGTATCAAACTCAGTTCTACTTTTGATTTTTTAGGATTTCATTCACTCGACAGACTAGTTCTGTCTCAAGCAGCAGCTATTATTAAACTAATATGACCCGCTAGTGAAGTAGTACTGGAAAATGCTTCTCTAGCATCATGTATATCGGTAGGAGGAAGTTCTTATAATACACCTTAAGATGATGCTTAGTTGGACTGTATGTGGCTCGACCAGTAGCACGTAGAAAAATGAACTTGACTCTACCTTTCAAAGCGTCAAGAGATGACACATTCATCGGATATAGTGGAATACTCTAGCGATAGTCTGGACCTTATGGTTCATAGCACGAATACGACAACCATATTGACTGAGATTAAGCTATAAACTGACTTGCGATCTTAGTTATCAATAAATATCAGTGGAAGTCTTGGTAGTTCCTCATGTATAAGATAACGTCGACGAAAGTTCACTCCTCAAACGATACACACTCACATTCGTACTAGAAAAGAAATGTTATATCAAAAAAGTACACGAACAACAATCACGAAAGATACAACACGAGTGAGACACCTAAAGCTAGAAGCATAGTACCAATAAGTGTAGCACAACTTTTGACATATGGGGAAGAGCAAGTTATATTCCACAGGCAAAACGTATAGACGAAACGTACGTAAATTAAAAAAACATCGAATAGGAGTCGTCGATGTTATAGTAGAAAAATTTTTTACGGCTGACAGTGTCCCGTTTTAGTCTGCGAGAGCTATGCTGATCATCGAAAAGCTCGAAGCTTTTTACGAAAGATCCTAAAAAAATCACTTGAGTATTTCATAACGAAATGGAGAAATAAAAGCAGTTCGAAAAATACTTAAAACCTCGAAAACGCTTTTTCTCAAATATTTTATAACAAACTCAAATTTTTTCTAATATTTGTTTACGAATTAACTGAATCAGAGTGGATTTTCTGATATTTTCAAGTACTTGTTGTCGTGTATAATACCTGTTCTTAAGAGCAAATAAAAGAGCAAAAATTCGCTAATAACAACAAAAATTATATTTTTTACTGGCTGGAAGAAAGAAATTGACCTTTTCGCCTGTACGATAAAACAAACATGATGTTTCTCTTCAAAAAAGGAAAATACAGAATGCTGAATTTTCCCTGCATATCGTATCTTTGGTCTAAAGCAGAGTTGGATTTAGTACGGTTCGACCGAGTCAGAATCGCATCGTTTGAGATTTTTGAACGATTTGAGACGACTGCTGGAATTTTACCGATTGGACTTTATAGAAATTTTCGGCATTTCACTGGGTTTGATGGGAAAAGGCTAAAAAAGGAGCTTTCTTTCATAAGAATACTTTTAAAGGTCCTTATGTAAGAAACGGCATTCGACTCTTCTTCCCTCATTTTTTATTTTAAGGACAGCAGTAAATTTTCCATGAAATACTAAAACCATTGTGTTTAATCGACTCCTGAGCGCTAGTATACAGTAAAAGTTTCAAACGGTTCTAACTCTGATCTGATGGGTATGAGGCTTGAAAGTTTAGGAAAAAACACTACAAGAGATCGGTTTTCTCGGCGACATCCGTTATATCAGATTTGTTGAGAGAAAAACTTCATGTTTCTAAGGTAACTTCTGTAATTCTTACAATTACACATATATGCAATTCCAGTAATTAAAACTTGTCACCTTTTCTAATTGAACAAGATGATTTAATTGTCTTTCCAACTTCATCTATCTACTTCACGGTGATGAATTTTAGTCGTTGAATAGCAAGAGATCTATTCACGAAAAATCTCTACTTCTAATTCATTTTTCTAATTAATCAACGACAAAGGAATCTCTTACGTGTGAACAAAATATAGAGAAACGTGTAGAAAATTTGTATAATTTTATTGGATCAAACATAATGATGAATTCTTTTCATTTGGTAATGTTGTTTTCGTTCTTAAATTGAAGTTTGAATCCCGCTTTGGCACCTTTTTTCCATTTTGTTGTTGTTGTTCTTGAAGTGATTTAGTTTCTCTTAATGATAAATGACTATTGTCTATATATGGATTGTCACCAATCAATAATATATTTCCATTTTGTTGTGATGATTGTCCATTTGGTACTGAGGACATAATCGGTATTAATGGTGGACTTTTTAATGTATTTCGAAATGCAAGAGATGATCGACGTTGTTTCAATGCTGTTTTACGATAATATTCTTCCCACTATTAACATATAGAAGAAAACTTATAAACTTCTTTTTTAAGTTTTCTATATGATGCCTCTATTCCTTACATATTTCTGTTTATCAGTATTTTGATGCTCAATATCGTTTAGATATTCTTGCTCATCTGAACCAAATAAATATATCTCAACATCACCGTTCTTTTTGTTCTGAAATAGAATACATATCGCATTTAAATAGAATTATTGTATACAGAAATTCGGCGAAGAAAAAAAAGATATATGTGTGCGTAGTGCAAAAGAAAATTTTTAAAAAAGTGAAGAAGGGTGCAACAAATTTTTTACTATTTGAAGTTTTCCTTGGAAAAAAGTTTTGTTTTACAGAAAAAATAAAAACTTTTCAAAACTTTACAGAAGATGATCTATCCTGATCTTTCAGAAGAGACAGTTGAGAGTAATCGTGCCAAGTACAATTAGATATATATATACTTTAAATATGAGTATTCTTGCGTGCGTACTATAAATAGTAAAATACGATACAAGCAATTGAGTGGGATAAACAAATTAAAATTTACCAGATTGTCAGAGCGATGAACTGTACGATTTAAACTCATTATCTGCGAATAACGGGAAATATTACGAATTCTTAAAATGTTTAGAAGTAGATTTTATTTTCGAAAAAAAGAGTCCTAGTTTTAATGTGAACTGCAATTAAAGGAACTAAATATTTTGTTTTGATTACCGGTTACTTGTGGTTAGTACAGTAGTTCGCATTGAATTACAACAATTCACAAAAATTTAATGAAAATTCATACTTTTCCAATTATTGTCGCTTTTGTTTTGAGTTTTGTACCCGAACTGAAGGCAACGGCTGACATTAATTTATAAAATTTTTGATATTCATGTTCACTTAATGGCTTGTTCTCCCAATCTCGACAAAGAGTCTAAAATAGGATGAAATGCGCTCATATTACATAATCGCTGTATATAATATGCATAGATGTCAATTTACCTGAATACGTTTTTCTTTTTGCTCTAATCGGTTGTATTTACGCTGTAACAAAGTTAATTCTGATTTTAATTTTGGATCACCGGGTAACATGGTATTTGTTTGTACTAACACATTCGATTCTTCTTGTTTCTGTTCCATTAGTTTTAATTCTCTCGTTGACATTTTAAATAGACGATGGTCGGGTTTTGCTTCCTCTTGAGTGACATAAATTTGAAATATAATACATCCATTTTCAAAAAAACTTAGCCAGTCCTAAAACAACAATAATAATAATAATAATAATAATAATAATGAAAGGTTGAGAATAATTCAGACTATATTAATGTTTAACATACATAGTCGACGCTTGGAATTGTGATTATTCTCGATTGTTTAACATTTGCACATACACTCTGTTTTCCAAATATGCCTGTTTCTGCGAATTCTGGTTCATTGAATACTTTATAACGTATTCTCATACCTTTGTTATATCTTTCATCATTGATTTCAATATGACGCATGGCTAATTTAAAACTGTATGGTTTACCCAGTAATTCTTCTGGTTGATCAACAAATTGTTCTTCCTTTATAGCTTTACCATTCGGTGCACATGGTGATAGAGTAATTCCCAAACGACCTTGTTCTAATCCCTGAAATATTTTTCATAAAAGAAATTCAGAAAAAAATAGCAACAACAAAATGTTTTTTACTTTATAATCCACAATACATATTTCATCATCAAAATCAAGTGAATATGCTAAACTTTGTAGAAATACATTAGCTGTTCCAAGCAGAAGATCCTCGACAGGTTCCCAAAATGGATCTAAAAATAATCCGATTAGTTACTGTGAATGTGCTTTATTAACATCACACACGAATACATACCATCCTCTTTCTTGATATACAATATGTCTTCTTCACCATCCAAAAATTTTTGATAATGATCCTAAAAAAATACTATCTAGTTTGAAGTTTAGTATAAAATAATAAAGTTACTTTTGGAAAAATAATAACTCTCGTTGCATTAACGTATATATCATATTTTTTGAAGTATTGACTATTAAGACGTATTATTCCAGAAAGAAATTCTGTTAGAATAATACAATGACGCACTGTAAAAAATAACGTGTGCCGGTACATGTGTATCTCAAAAATACGGTACCAAAAAACTGTATATTTTCTTAAGTGTGTCCAGTTATGTGTGCCAGTTCTTTGTTCTGCTTCAGAGGGAGGATGTCCTCTCTTTAAGCATATCCTCAAACTCTACAGCTAGTTTGTAGAGAACATCCTCAATGGTATGCCTATGGAATAAAACTAAATTTCGTCAAGTATTGACAGCGTTATTAATTAATTAAGTTTAAATTCTAATTAATCTTTGATTAGATTTTCTTGGTGGTGGTAAAGGAATTTATCATTTGACAGAGATTTTCGAGCGCTACAAAATCCTATATTTGCTTTGCCAAAAGTTACTAATTAACAGTTATTTTTACCCATTTTTAGGTATATTAGATTTCTAAGTGATTTATTACTGTGTACAGAAACCATTTTTAAATAACTTTTGACTGACAGTAGCTAAAGAGTTGGGGGGGGGGGGGGGGGGGTGGGGGGGGGGGGGGGGCGCGGGGGGGGGGGGGGGGGGGGGGGGGGGGTGTTGTTGTGGGGGGGGGGGGG